AGTAAGTCCTGGGTGCAGTCAGGAATAAGCCAACCCCTCCCATGCAACAACAACAGAGGCGTGACCCCAGTTTGCACGTATGCAAGCGCACAAGCTCTCCTAGCACACCCCCAGAAACCTGTGTGACCTAGGTCGTTGCAGAAGCTGCAGGAGAAGGGAGAGGATGGAGAGAGTGACAAGAACAGCCAAAGAAATCACAGTTGAAAACGAAGGCCAAAGAATCATATTCTTTCGGGATCCTCACCTCTCGTGTTTCCATCTTCAAATACCCGCCCTGGAGCACGGGTCTCCTTGCGTACCTGACTCTCACTAAGCCTCAGAGATTTGTTTTTACCTTGTCTTGTAATATTCTTTTCTTCAGTGTTTACAGGAGTCATGCCCTGTCTTGTAAGGAATTTACTCAGGTCTTAGTTTTTCAATTTATGCATCTTTGGCAATGTTATAAACAATTACACACATTTCTACTGCTTTCTAACTTTACTTCTTGATCGACTAGTTCCCTCTTTTTATTTATGTATTTATTTTTTGTTTTTGAGTCATGGGCAATGGTGGTCCAGGCATATTCCTAGCTCTGTGCTGAGGGACCACTTCTGGTGCTGATGGAGAGACCATATGTGTTGCTAATGATTAAGTCCAGGTTCAGTGCATGCAAGACAAGCACCTTATTCAGAGCACTATCTCTGGCCCCTATTATTTCTCTATAATCGTATTATTGTGTAGCAAGCAATATTTTTATTTTTCATCTTGTTAAGTGTCTGGAAAACTCCTTAGATTATAGGTTTTACAAGAGCCTGGATTTATTTCTCCACTGGCCATAAATGAATCCTTGTAGTTTATAAGAGTACTTGATATAGAACTCAATAAGCACTTATTAGACAACGGCAAGATGCTAATGTGTTTTTTACTAGTATTCTCTACTGTTTTATTATGCCCTATTAATTTCTAATATTTTGGAAACATATATAACAATGTTGTTAAACCTTATAGTAAACAATTTAAGCACAATTATGTCACATTTCTTAGTAAATTCATTTTTAAAATGCACTTTCCAGATATCTGAGCTTTATAACTAATATAAACAGCCATGAACATTGTGTCTAATCAAAGGATATAATGAAGCATTTACAATTTGGTAGGCCATAATTGAGCCAGGACAACAGACAATATAAATAAACTTGTATTAGGTAATTGTCCCATTTGTACCTTCTATCTGCTGACTCATCTCTTAACCTGGAATGTTCTCTATCTTCATGTTTTTACGGCATGAAGACATTCTTTAACAATAGATATTCCTGATGTTTAAGTTGTACCTCTTATTTTCCATGGACTTTCTAAATATTTCTCTTCTAGAAAAGGTAATAAGGAAAAAAGAACTTATGGCATAACTTGGCCTAGATATTAAATCTAAGCTCATCAACTTTCAATGATTCCATATGTATTGAACCCAATTGTTATTTATAAAATAGAGATAAAAAATAGTTCCTACATTTCTGGATTGTTTTGAGGATAATGGAATATATATGCCACAGAGGCAGACACAGTTAAACATAAAACATGCCATTAGATGGTTGAATGCATTTTATCCATTCAATATGAAATCTTGTATGTGCCAGTGAATGTAGTATAACTGAGCTTTTTCTTTTGATTTTGTTCATTGTACATACTGCAAGTTCTTACTTTCTCTTTTTCTTGTTGACGTACTTTCCTTAATCCCTATTTCTTCACAGTCTGAACTTTATATTCAACATCATTTCCTTTTTTCTGACTAGTAGTTTATATTCATTCCAAAATTTTAATTTATTCGTGACCTCTCTGACCTAAAATATACTTCTAGGTCTAATCTTTTATATCCAAGTTTCTTTCTTATATGAGTATTTCAAATTTTTTTGTTCAAAAAATTTGAATTTTACCGTGCCCCTTATCTGTTTACATACATCTATATAGTTTCCATTAATAGTGCCAAAATACACAAGTATTTTAGACCGATACTCTATGAATTGACTGATATTACTCTTCACTATACCACTCACATGCAGGTATAGTTTATTCTACTTTCAGATTCATTAGATTGTGTACATTACTATCCATCTTAGATGTCACCAATATTGACAAACCACGTTATTCCTTTCATGAATTTTATGTGCATATTTGTGAAATTTATGTAATCCAGAATCCAGAATAATTATCCACTAGACCAATCTTTTCCTACACTGAGTTGTGTAGCAGTCACATCTTCTCAATGGTTTTATATTGCAACTAAATATAAATTCTTCTTAACAGGCTCCTCTATACTCTGATAGGCATGCAATAAATATTTGTTAAATGAGCTAATGAGTGAATGCCTGGTGCATAAGTATTTAATAAAACACAATGATTATAATTATTAGCATACATCATTGCACTTCTCTGTTACTCAATAGTGATTAGCCTTTGCTTCTCATATTGAATAAATATTAATAAAATTTAATCCATTATAGGGAGACAATATTTAAATGTAATACTACCTCATTATATAGCCTAAAATATGGGCTATATTAAATGTTATTTAAAATTTATGGGGATGATATATCAGATTTATCATTATGATGTACCATATGTAATCTCTCATATTATTTTGGAACTTTAATATAATAAAAATTCTGATTTGCTTTTATGAAATTTTTCCACTAACACTCTATTATATTTAGGAGATAGTATAAAAACCAACTATTGTTCATTTTACTTCAGAAATTTCTGCTTATTTTCTACATAAATTTCACTCTGGTTTTGGCAAAGAGAAGGGAAAAACTAGAGAATATTAATATAATTTCCCAACTAACAAGTGAATATCAGCCTTCCTCCTCTTCCCCTTAACTGCAATGTGAAATTCCACACTAAAATAGTCCCTCCTAAGTTTTGTCAAAAAACTTGTTACATTGGAACATTTAGTTATTTTATGAGTACTTTTAAAATTTTATTAATTGGCATAATACAGAGGCAGGCTTTCTCTGTTGCCATAGGAAACAGTAGGAAGCAACAGTGAAACTGAGGATGAAAATAATTAAAAATGTGATTCTGATTATGTTCATTTTGTTTTTTTCAGATCTGATGAGTTTTGAAAACCACTGATATTCTTTTCAGGTTTGTGTGTTTGAGAGACCTCACTGATGACCTTAGGGAGTTTCGAGACTCGTCTCATCTCAGGCAGTACTTAGTGGTTCGGTCATGTTATAAAAAACCCTGGGTCTTCCACATGATTTTTGAGACATTTCAGTCACAGTTGTGACAGTATTTTTGAAGAAACATCATGATTTTTTAAAGAAACATCCTGAAGAAATGTGACCTCATCTTTGTTTTGCTTAGCTTTTTGGCTACATACTGGTGTGTTTAGGGATTGCTTGTGACTGTGTGTTCAGTGATCACTTCTGGAAGTGCTCAAAAATCCCTCTGCAGTGGGATTGAATCCCAGTTGACTGCATATAAGGAAAGTTACTTACCTGATGCTTTATCTCTCTGGCCTCAGAAATATCAACTCTTTAAAGATGACATTTAGATAGTTTCTAGTCATTTTAAATCAGTCCTTTACTGGCTAAGATGGTAACAGTCTCTTATGCAACCCTTTAAATAACCAAACCCACTAACCTTCAGTTTCCTTTGTATGGTAGAAACTTCTTGAGGCAATTTGCAGCAAGATTTCTTCTTTCCAGAGTTTAAACTGAAATATATGACAATCCTCAAAGGCATACTAAATTTATGTGTGGAAGGTACTGCCAAATATGAAGACTTCCAGACATTTAGGTTTCTACACGGTGGAATTTTTTCCTGAATCAGAGATAGAAAACTGATTACTGTGAATTTCATTACAAGAGTCGGTAATTACTTTGAAGACTCTAGAGAATTGAGTGGATTGTCAGAGAATTTTTTCTCTCACCACCTAGTCACACAATGCCCTTGGAAACATTATAACATAACAGATTGTGTGTTGCATACATACATATATGTTTATGTGTGTATATATATAATGTTTGATATAGAAAACATTTGCATAGTCGATATTATGCTGATAATGGTAGGTCAGTTGAATGATTTTTTTCACATAAGATCTTTTGCATGAGGAAAATCTGTTACTAAGAAGTTAAGCAAGCTATGATTAAGGCAGAACTGTAGTTTGAATTATTTTCCTATCAAAAACCTGATACCTACACTAGTATGTTTGGGTTCCAATTTAAAGATATTTACTTTATAAAACTCCAACTTTCTTCTATTCTGACTTAGATATACTCATACATCCTCATTTGTCTTTGTTCTACCTGACAATGAAAATTAGACACAGTATTTATTTATATGAATAATTACTCTGTTTTAATAATGTATGTAAAGAGGTATTATTGGGCTTCATAATTAAAAGGTAACTTTATTTTTGGGGATCCATAATTAATACATGCTCAAGGATGAATATTTAGAAAGAAAACTGGGTCATTATAAAAAAAAAATCAGAGATCTCCAGTGTTTGATACTATCTGTACATAATACCAAGAATTTTCTCGACAAGGCACAGTGTAGTTTCTAGGTTGATATCTCCAGTCTGCATATAAGTATGTAGTCTTATCAAATATTTAAGATTCATTTTTGTGAATCCAGTTGAACAAACGAAAAATGATTCATCAAAGCAAGGAATTATCAAGCAACTGTCAATTGCTTCACCAGACCAAAAAAGTCCATTTAGGAGACAGGAAATCCAGAAGAATGTTTGAATTTTTCTTTGTTATCTGTACATCAAAGTCGTCTCTCTCCACTAGCATAAAGCGTAAGGAATCCCAAGCTGGCGCCCTAACCTTGTTCAATGTTCCTGCTATTCTTTCCAGGTTTTGAAGATCATGATCACATGGACGCGTCTAGCTGAATGGTCCCAGGGGACGTGGCGGTCTCCTAGAGCGCGCGTCTAGACACTGGCTGCTCTCCCGCCTTGCGACGGCCCAAGACACCGCTCGGCTCTGCTCCCGGCCCCTCTTCCCTCCCGCATCATGCTATCCTCAGCAGCCTGAACTCCGCTCTTAAAATGGTCCTTCTGCTGATCCTGTCAGTCCTGCTTCTGAAAGAGGATGTCCGTGGCGGCGCCCAGTCCAGCGAGAGGAGGGTGGTGGCCCACATGCCCGGCGACATCATCATCGGGGCTCTCTTCTCCGTCCACCACCAGCCCTCCGTGGACAAGGTGCACGAGCGCAAGTGCGGGGCGGTGCGGGAGCAGTACGGCATTCAGAGGGTGGAGGCCATGCTGCACACCCTGGAGCGCATCAACTCGGACCCCTCGCTCCTGCCCAACATCACGCTCGGCTGCGAGATCCGGGACTCCTGCTGGCACTCGGCCGTGGCCCTGGAGCAGAGCATCGAGTTCATAAGGGACTCGCTCATCTCCTCGGAGGAAGAGGAAGGCCTGGTGCGCTGCGTGGACGGCTCCTCCTCTTCCTTCCGCTCCAAGAAGCCCATCGTCGGGGTCATCGGGCCCGGCTCCAGCTCTGTGGCCATCCAGGTCCAGAACCTGCTTCAGCTCTTCAACATACCTCAGATCGCATACTCGGCGACAAGCATGGATCTGAGCGACAAGACTCTGTTCAAGTACTTCATGAGAGTTGTGCCTTCCGACGCCCAGCAAGCCCGAGCCATGGTGGACATAGTGAAGAGGTACAACTGGACCTACGTGTCGGCCGTGCACACAGAAGGTAGGCTTCCTTTGCGTCCAGTGTGGTTTCCTTTGCGTCCACTCACCCAGGGCCTCACCAGGAACTCCTACTTGAAATGTAAGGTTTGGGAAGATGGAAGTGTTCCAGTCATTGGCGATCTTTTGAGCAGCCTGTTTATGTCATGACTATAATAGGGCTTGGTGGATCTAAAGATGAGTAACTTTAGGTGAAACAAATGATTATTCTGTGGCTATCATTTGACAAATAGAAATTGGGGGGATAGGATATTACAGCATTTGCACCCCTGCTATCACGATATTAGATATTCATAAGTTGTCTAGGACTTCATGGACTACCCCACTGTTTTTAATACATTAAGGTTGCTCAAATAATTATTGTTCATAGTCAATAAAAAGAGGTACATATGAACTCATGACAGGCCTGCAGGCAGACAGTTTCCGCAAAACTATTCTAGAATAGAAGTTACCAAATCATTTAGTCTTACAACATTTTTTAGTGGAGAGTATGCTTAAATTTGAATGGATGTATGCATGCGTTAATACTATTCTATGTGGAGTATTCTTGGAAGTATGAATTTTAATGACATTTAGATAAATTTAGGTTGTTTTGTTCAAAGCAAAGTGAAGAAAGAATTGATGATATTTTATGCTAAACAACTCATGATGTTGGTTCATAAACGATCTAATGATTGTTTATGGTGCTCTTAAAAATTTATATAATTTGTTAGATCTCAATGGAGGCTGTTTGACATAGCTTTGATTTGAACAACAGAGGTTAAATGACCCAGGCAGGGAGACTCACCGGTTGCATAACACTCTTTCTAGGACAATCTACAGAATACACTAAGCATTATAAAATACAGAAGGTAAAACCAATTCTTTATACATCACTATGTAATTATGAGTCATTCTCAAAATTACTTGATTTTTTAAAAATCAAGTACTCTCTCTTCAATGCATATTTGCCCTCTACCTCTAATCTTACATTTTTCTAAGCGAGTTTTGTTCAATTAAAACTACCAGACTTTACTAAAAATTAAGTTTAAAATGCCAGCCCCATCACTGGGTCAATGGGGTGCAAACAATTTATTTCTGTAAAATGTGGAGTGGTTTATTGGTAAAGTGATAAAATAATTAAAAAAACAGACTTATGAAGTTTAAGTCACTCAGCAATTAGAGCAAAATTTCTTGTCAAGTAGTATGGATGTAATTCTAAGGCCATTATAATCAATAAAATTCAAATATGTACATACATAAAAATAACTACATTGGAGTCATATTTCTTTGCCTCTGAAAATATTCATGGCTATGTTTATAGTACATTTATAGAAATGTGGACATACTGAGATTTAAAATGTAGGTAGGGGATATATCTAGGACCCACATGATCAACTGTGTTCTGAACCTTTGAAATCCACTGGTTCTTTGATTATCACAACATCCAGTATTTAAGTTACATTTTAAAAATGTTGATAAGTTTAAGATTATATTGTCTAAGAAATGCATTTTTTAGAACCATGAATAGCACTCACTGCTATTACCTTCTAGCTTTATAACATGCTGAAATGTAACATAAATAAATGAAACCATACTGTAAGAGTATGTTTATGAGAGACATTTATTAAACACACCTATGATAAAAACCTTATGATAAATATGCAAAAAACATCTCTATATTTTAGATCACAGCTAAAAGTCAGTGTACAGTTTGGCAAGGAAGATGATACATAAATAAATATTTATTACTTTACATCAATATGAAACAGTTACACAAGGTTTCTAAAGAAAATTCAGAAAGTATAAAAATCATCTTGCTTTGTGATGATATGGAGCATTGTAGAAATATGAAGAGAGTCTAGGGAATTTGGCAGTTAAGTTTTAACAGGAGCATTTTAGTAATCTGTAAAAATGAAGATGGGATGGGTTCCCAATAAAAAGCATGAAGAAAAATGAGAAGATATAAATGAAAAAAAAATGTTTGTAAACTGGAATGTGGCTTAGTGGTGGATTGCAATCTCCCATTCAATGGGGTGTCATTTTAATTTATTGTGAGTTTCTTTTTCTGTGAAGATGATTTTTAATTTTCTGTAGTCTTATTTTTTTGCTGTCTTTGAAGGAAGTTCTGTGGTCAGTTTTCTGGAGAGTTCTGCTGGGTTTTTTTTATAAATTATTTTATGAATTCTATCTAATCTCAATTCTGTAATTCACTCTGAGTTTGCTTTTGTGAATGGTATGAGGTATGGTTCTAACTGTTGTTTTTAAAAGTTTGTTCAGGTTTCCCAACAACATTTCTTAAAAATGTTTTGTTTGCTTCACCTCCAATCATAGGTGAAAATCTCATAAATCTTGAGGTTTAATTCAAGACTCTCAATTATGTTTCATTGGTCTGCAGATCTGTCTTTAGTCCATCATAAAAATTTTTATTATAATATCAGCTCTAGTATATTACACTTCCTACTCTATCCTTATAGCTGTTTTTTGATAAGTTGTTTTCTCTATTTTTATGAGTATGAACATTTTTGAAGAGTATCAGCATTTTCAAATGCTTTTTAGGTGAGGTATGAGACCTACAAAATTATGTACCATTTTCAGAAGACTTTTATTTCTTTTCATTGCATTATTTTTATACTTAAACCTGGCAGCACCTGTTCCTTAGTCATCTAAGCAGATCTCACCAGATATTCCTCAAAGAAAGTGTATACTATCAGAATTCCAGAGGAAAGCATGAATAAACCTGGGTTTCAGCTTCAAAGTTAATCCTTCTCACTTCTTAAGTCATTGATTTCTATGTATGTAGGATTCAGGGATATGTGTTTTCTGTGGTTAATTATAATATGCAGAAATTGAGCCTGTACCTTCTAGACAAAGGGGTTAATGCTATGGAAAAAATATAAAAATAAATAAAAAATAAAACAAATAGAATAAAATATAAAAATATATTTTAAAAAAAGGCTCCCGGAAGGGCGTGGCCGCATTCGCGGCTGCACAACCTCTTATTATCTAGTTTTTGCACTTGAAGAACTGGGCAGGCTGACGAGAGTATCCTGCCCTCACGCAGAGTCTGGCAAGCTCCCTGTGGCGTATTTGATGTGCTAAAACTTAGTAGCAATGATGGGTCTCATTCCCCTGGCCCTGAAAAAGCCTCCAATGTGGCACTTGTGAAAATCTCAGGGCTAGCATGAATGAGACATTACTGGTGCTTGCTCAAAGAAATTGATGAACAATGGGATGACAGTGAACCTAGGGAGTTCATACGATTTTTGGAAATAATCCAGCTATTTTTGGAAACCACCAGCAAGCATATTTTAAATCTCAGAACTTTAATAAAATAAAATAAAATAAAATAAAATTTCATCTTGGTAGAAAGAGAAAGAAGACATGCTCTGTCTCAGAAGAAAAACCCTTACTCCTTTTAAAGGATTTAATTCATTCTACAGTCCCTCAGCTATAACAGAACTGAAGACATCATTTGCCTAAGTACTTTTGCAAACATTGGAACATTTGCCGTTATGCCACAGGGTTGATTAATGATACTTGCCTGTTTAGTGGTGTGGCAGATAGCTAGCTTTGATGACTTCATTAATGACCTCTTTTGCTGTGGAACTGACAGTTTCTTTCCACTCTCATGCAGCACTAGTTGTCGGGCTGCTTTGGTCGATGTAATTTTGTGGAAGTGAGGGGTTTCTTCCTAAGAAGTCTGGCTTGGAACCTTTCATCAGTATGAGAAGGATGCAAATGCTCAAGTTTTCCACATTAGTTTTTCAGATACCAATTAACCACTGTGAGAGAGTAAGTATCCAATGAAGACCAACACAATTAACTTCTTCATTCATGTTAATTTAAACAACCTACTAGAATGCAGGTTAAATATAAATATTTTCTAAATTTCCATACATTTATGAATAATAATAAATGCCTTTAAGCTTAATCAGTGTTGGGCCCCAGAGATAGCACTGCAGATAGGATGCTCGGTTTGATCTCTGGCACTTATGTTTCTCTTCCTGTGCCCCATCAGGAATGACCTCTCAGTGCAGAACCAGGAGTAAGCCCAGCACACCACTGGGTGTGGCCTAAAACAAATATTACTCAGAGTAATATAGTTAGTCCATTTATTTTATTTTATTTTATTTATTTTTTCTTTTTGAGTCACACCTGGCAATACACAGGGGTTACTTCTGGCTCTGCACTCAGGAATTACTCTTGGCCATGCTCAAAGGACCATATGGGATGCTGGGAATTGAACCAGGGTCGGCATGCAAGGCAAACACCCTACCCACTGTACTATCACTTCAGTCCCTAGTCCATTGATTTTAAACTGTAACTGCTCCCATAGGATTTTATATTAATGTTTAAATTTCAAAACTAAAATCAGATATATTAATGAAATGTTACAATATTCTTTATATTTAAGTATGAAATGAATAGAGCAAGTGGTGTGGGAAAGAAGGAAAATTTATGATTCCTTATTAATATTAGATATTTTATGATTCCTTAATAGACTGCTTCCTACAATCAGATCTTTTCATATGTTATAATTTGCTTCCTCTTAAATTAGATTTCACTGAAGAAAAACAATTGTAAATTGTATTTTATATACAAAACTACTTATACTCTTCTTTGTGGATGACTTACAGAATTCTCACTTGGCTCAATTTTTGCTGAATTGTTGAAATGCCACTTTAAATCCCTAAGGCCTATCAGAGACTTTAGTATATCATAGGTGCTAAAAAACTGCTGAATGAATGAATTTGTGTTATAATCCTACCCATCTCTTTGTGTGTAAACATATAGCATGTGAATAGCAGGTACTTATAATTATTCACACTTTTGCATCTTGAAAGAAGTGAGGTGCCACAATGCCTCCTTTGATTAAATGTAAATGATATTCACACCCCACTCTTTTTTTTACTGCGTCTTGAATTTATTATATCCATCTAATGATATGGGAATAAGAATTTGTTTGTGCCAGAAAACCTATCAGTGATCCAATGGTTGAAAATTGTGACATCAAGTTAGACT